GACTATCGGTCGAATTCTCCTCTCCAGTACCCTGGCATAGACTTTCCCGGGGAGGCTGAGGAGTGTGATCCCCCTATAGTTGGAACACACCCTCCGGTCCCCCTTCTTAAAAAGAGGGACCACCACCCCGGTCTGCCAGTCCAGAGACACTGTCCATGAAACTCTTCACTTCTGCTCTTAACTCAAAAAATCTCTTCAGCACATTACCCCTGCTTAGCCAGCGTACCTCAGTAAAATACAGCACACCACCATATGTTGCCTCGATTTCTATCAAAAAGGCCCAGAACTGGCGGTGTTGTAAAGCTCTGGACCTAATATAATTTACACATTTCAGGACGACAGACATCACATGCAAAAATTTCACGCATGTTGATGTATGATGCAGTGCAAAACGATAGCTGGATCAGCATTTGCCTCCGCTAACTTTCTTTGTACCAGCGCCACCAGGCCACTTTTTTTGCCTGTCATGGATGGTGCTCCATCGGTGGTAACACCCACTAGTCTGTTCCACGGCAAACCAAGCCGCTCAATCGCGCCACACAGCTCATGAAATATATTTTTCGCTGTGGTGCGGCCATGCACCGGACACAAACTCAGCAACTCTTCTGTCACCTCAAAACTGTCATCAACACCCCTGATGAAAATAGCTAACTGAGCATTGTCAGTATTGTCAGTACTTTCTTCCAGCGTGACAGAATATGTAATGAAAGTTCAGGCTTTTTCCTGTAACTGTTTGTAGATATTATCTGACAATCCATTAATCCGCTCTGCCACAGTGTTTGCCGACAGAGCAACGTTGCTGAACAAGCTCTTCTTTTCAGGACAGAGTATATCAGCAGTTTGAAGCATGCAATCCTTCACAAACTGTCCTTTGGTGGATGGCTTTCCAGCCTTGGCGATTAATTCAATAACCACATAACTTGCTTCAACTGCTGCCTCAGCGTCCTTACCGGTTTTGTGGGAAAGTCCTTGCTGGAATACTAGTTCTCTTTGTAGCTGCGTGGCTCGTTTTCTCCTGTCATCTCCATTGTAGTTCTCATAATGTTGTCCATGTTTACTCCAATAATGGCGCTTGATATTATATTCCTTAAGAACGGCGAGTTTCTCTTTACAAATGAGGCAGATTGCATCCACCAAACTCAACAAAAAATACTGCAGTGTCCACTTTTCTTGAAACTGTCTGTGCTCACTGTCGACTTTTCTTTTTGATTTTGAAAGTGACATACCTTTTGCGCTACTTCTTTTTCGTCTCCTTATTTTTTTTGCCGCGTACTCTGGAAGAGGCGCCACACTGTACGGCTCCGGACCTGCGCTTCCTGTTTGCTTAAAAACCTTTGTTCCGTATGTACCATTTTCAAAAATTATAAATGTGTGAATGGATGAATGGCCAAGTAGTATGAAAGCACTTTGAGTGTGCTGCAATGCATAGAAAAGTGCTATACAAGTATTAAGACCATTTATATTTATCATGAAGTCAGATGAATCAAATCAGCTGGTCAAACTTCAAAAATGCCTTAAAGACATAAAAGGTTGGATGACCTGAAATTTCTTACTTCTAAACTCAGACAAAACTGAAGTTATTGTGCTTGGGCCTGAAAACCCTAGAAATCTGCTGTTTAATCATATATTTACTCTAGATGACATAGCTCTTGCCTCCAGTACTACTGTGAGGAACCTTGGAGTCATTTTTGACCAGAATATGTCCTTTAAATCACATATAAACCAAGTCTCTAGAACTGCCTTCTTTCACCTGCGCAATATTGCAAAAATCAGGAGCATCTTGTCTCAAAGTAATGCTGAAAAACTGGTCCATGCATTTCTTACTTCCAGGCTGGACTACTGTAACTCTTTACTATCAGGATGTCCCAATAATTCCCTAAAAAGCCTCCAGTTAATCCAAAATGCTGCAGCCAGAGTACTGACAGGAACTAGCAAGATAGACCATATCTATCCCATATTAGATTCTCTCCACTGGCTCCCTGTAAAATTCAGAATAGAATTTAAAATCCTTCTCCTAACATACAAAGCCCTTAATGACAAGGCTCCATCATATCTTAAAGACCTCGTAGAGCCTTATCAGCCTAACAGAGCACTTAGCTAGCTTAAAAGGTAGCTGAAGTAAAGTAGCAAGTTAAATTTGGTAATTAGCAAGACATTCTGTAACACAGGTGCTTAAGTATTGCAGGTGCATGTCGCCACTCAAAAAAATGATAAACCTAGAAATCAGTGAGCTTAATTTATAAACATTCTGGTACTAAGCACAACACAGTGCAGGCACTGCAAACAGGAAGTGAATATGATTACTGTGGGAGCAGGAAACAGCAGTCCTCCAAGAGTCATGTTAACTTAAGCAAATAATTAATTCATATACAATGCACAAAAAGTATAGGAGAAAAAGGTGACCTGTAGGGGTCCAGAGGTAATATATTTTCTCATGTGAGAGTTAATTTAGCCTGGGTTAGAGTGGTTCAAACTCATTAAATCTAACAAACAACAGACTGAGCAAAAGTCCTAGACTGATATTGACTTGTTTTAGTCAGCTAACAATTCTACAAGTACGCAGCATCAATTTGAAATGTGTCTTCTGAAATGCAGCAAATCAAAAAGGGCCTGCTGACTCTGGTGGTGAGGACCAGTCTGCGTGTGGGGGCCCCGAGTGGTCAGGCACAGGTCACCCAGTTATGCAGGTCACACTCCCTCAGCTCCACTACAGGCATGGCCAGAGTCAGTGCTGACATGGGCAACTACAACTACCTGAACAGTACCTGCAGTAACACACCGAGCAATCCAGGTCAGCCTGTAAAACCCAAAGACCGCATCATGATGGAGATCTTCTTACAGAAAGGTCAGCCTCAGGAGACAGTATTATAAGTCGCTATTTTGATGATCTATTAATTATGGAAGCATTTTTGGTATTTTATCAATTATTATTATTATTTTTTTTTTTTTTTACTGTTGACGAAATAAGTAATTTTGAAGCGTTACTCTGATGGATATAGCATTTCCATCACATGGATGCAAAAGAGAGCTATACAGAGATTTCAAAACATGGGCAAAACTGAAGCAGCAGAGGTTGAGATACCATGACTTTTAGTCAAGCTCCTGACAATCTGATGTCTATGGCTCTATGCTTTATTGAGGTGTAAATGCTAAATCTCTTTTGTAATGTACCAGCAACCTTTGATGATATTGATTATAAAAATAAAGCTTAATTTGCATGTGTAATTTCCCAGAGGATGGTGTTGGCCTAGGCATTGGGCTTTGCTGTGTTCCATCTGGTGATGGATGTCCTGGGATCTATATCCACACCCTCTCGCCTGGATCTGTAGCACACATGGATGGTAGACTCCGGTAAGGATCCTTTAGTGTAGTGATGAGTACACAAAAAGACAGGGCCAATGTAATATCATGCAAGTACCATTAAAAAAAATTAAACAGTATGTGAAGGAGTACAATTTATTAAGTTACTAAAGCAATGTTTTTTCCATTCATGGTACAAATACATTCTACACCCCTCTGATGGCCAACATACATACACCATACAGTAAGTGGTTACTGGGGGAAGGGTAAATGTTCCTGACCATTACTGGGAAACCTGAGCCTGGGACAATGCACATAACCATCCTATTCTGGCAGGGCTAGATGAGAAACATATATGGAGCTACTGGTCCACAGCCCCCAGTTGCTCCCTGTACTTGTTCTTGATGTAGGTTAGGTATAAGAAGCTCATTGTGCACAAATATATCATAGAGAAAGGTGGCAGAATTCCTGTGGTACTACAGTACTTGCAATGATTGGGTTGTAGTGGAAATGATAACATGTTATGAACATGAACATTAATATTTAATTTGGCCAATAAAGGTGATTATCCTTATTTAATGAACAATTTATTTATTCAGTCTCACTGGTAATTTTGGGATTCTCAGGACGTTTACTCAGGTATCCATAAATAAAAGAGAAAAGATGACATAATGAAGCCAGTTATAAACTAAAATAATTTATTTACAATACAGCATGTAGAAAAGGCCAAATGTTTGGGCTGAAAAATGCAATGAAATGGTACATTAGTAACAAGGATGGAGTCAATGGGTGCCTGGATCCAGAATCTGGGGTTTAGTCAAAAATCTGGAGAGAAAAATTTCAATAGGTTAGAGTGTAGTGGTTAAATCAATGCAAAGGGAAAATGACTGCAGTGCCAAAATCATTTATTGAACAATATTATTGCAATGTGATTGTGACTGGGAAACAGGATCACCTTGTAAGTCTTTTAGTCTTTTGTCACTCTGCAGAGGAAGTCAGGTAGTCTGGTCTCGTCTCCCCCAGGGTCTTTATGCACAACTCAGCTCTGCTCCCCTCCTGATCAATCCCCCTGCTCCTTTTTATTTCCATCTCTCTCCTTCACATTCTTTTCCTTATTAGCTCAGCTCTATTAGCTTGTCCACTGTCATCTCCTTCTTTGGGGAAAACTCCTGACCATCCGACTTCCCCCTCGAGCAGCACAGAAAAAATAGAAGGTCGCTGACCTTTCCTAGTTACACAAGCATTTTCCTATCTTGACACTAGAAGTCTATTTTAGTATCTATTCTAAGAGACATTTATGTAATATATCCCATGACACATTTTAATCAGGAATATGTTAACAAAGGATTAACTACTAGACATATACTGTTTGTTCTAACCACTACAGAATCCACTCCTCCCGTAGTGAGAGAAACTACGGGACTCTTTAACACTATAGAACATACACATACAAAGAAATGAAACGGACATTCATAAACACATTTATATACATCACGAACCCGGACTATATCCCAACAGAGTTACACCAGACCACTGTTAGAATACATCACTTCCTAACACTAATCAGTTACCCAAATTAACACCACTAATTACTAATTAAACATTATCCTCCTACCTCATTCAAAAGTGAAATACAAATCAACTTTTATTACAGGGATAAACATTTGACCTTAAAAGAGCAATTCTACACTAAACCAACTCTTGACACTTTAAAGAACATGCTCGGAAGCACACCAAGTACTGCTTTAACATGGCAAAACTTTCTAATTTGACATATAACACACTGAAAATAAAATAGGGACATAGAAAGAATGACCAGCAAGGTGATCCCCTTTCCCTCACATATAACAACACAGTTTCAGTTATACACATGTCTGTACTGTAAAACAAAACAGCTTCAATGCAAACACTTCCTGACAGTTTAACACAGATCTTTCCATCAAGACTTAACATGCAGACTCAGGCAAAACCCCCCCACAAACATTAATTTTGTATCATTGGCTGAGTTTGAGTCATTCATTTGACTCTCTCCATGGGGGAAAATTCCCAAGTGACCCCCAGGTAGCCTGCTTGGTGCCTTTTCGTGGGCGATCGCCATCAAGGGCCTGCATTAGATCTGAGAGCAAACAGAAAACAGACATAGTGAGATTCAAAACATAACACATCTGTCACATAAACATTAGTACTGTGCTTAAACTATTGTGTAAATATTCTAAAATGTTTACTGTAGCTCATACTGTAACATGCTGAAATAAAATGAAAATGATTAAATGAAAATACTCAACACAAGTGATTGAATAATAAATATGTAAAAATGACTATATGTAATTGACTTATAAGTAATGTGAATATCTGAAGATGTGATGTCATCCATGGTCCTTCAGTCAGCTCATCCTCTTGCCGTTTTAGTCGGTCACCACCTGGTAGAGCTCTTCTCCGTCTTCTCCTCCGATCTCCAGCCACTCCATTTGTCCAGTCTGCTTCTGCTTCACTTCCTGCGCCATCATTACCATCTGCAGTTTTTCTCTCAACTGCACTAAGTATCACTGACCTCATGACAGGAAGGCAACAACACAGGACAAAACCCATTGCAACTACTCCAATAAAGACAATTACCATTGATCTGACCAAACCCTGTTTCCAGCCACTGGTAGTATTCACTAACCAATTTATCCAACCCATGTTAATTTACTTACCAGCATTATCCATTACTTCAGCCTTCAAATCCCTAACCTTCCTCATAGCCTCCGTGAAAGCTCCCTCAGGAGCTGTATGTCCCGGTATATAAGTACAGCAGTACTCTCCTATGAGGGCACACACACCTCCTTTTTCTGCTAAAATCCAATCAAGCGCTTGTCTGTTCTGCCAGGACACAGCACTTGTAGCACTCCCCTGCTCTCCTAATGCACCTAGAGCTTCATCTGTGTAGTTGATGAATTGCTGTTGATTGTAAAAAAATGTAGTTTATCCACTCATTGTTTTTATTAGCTGTTATCCAGGGTAAGATAGACTCGAACCCTGATGCAATCCCATGTCTGGCTTTAAATTCATTTGGGATTCCATGTGGCTGGCCGATTTAGTCAAGATACACCTTGGGATCTGGAGAATACGCTCTCTTACTTCTGACACTACCATTCCTAGCCTGCTCTACTGAGGCAAATGTAATCAACTCCTGAGCCACCTGTACTCTGGCACATTTACCTTCCCAGTTGATTGGGAGAACTGAATACAAATGTTGTCCCCCACACCACCAAAAGTGATCAGCTAATGCTATAGTTTGATCAAAATAAGGACAACCTGGAACCTGCACATGCAGAGAGCTTCCTTTCAACTGGGGAGGTGGATGCAAGTTGGGCTTTGTACAGTTCGGTGTGTCCAGCTTCCACCTGTGACTACACCGGTCAGGGCTCACTTTCCCTAATGGTACAGCTCCTGTCTTTTCAACACACTCAAACCATCCTACTGGTATTAATGGAACACCATGTGGCATTCCCAGCACTGCACTTCTTTCCCCTATAGTCACATCTAATTCTCTACATCGCTGGACATTAGTCTTCCCTTCTGCTCTGAAGTTGGGCACCAGTTGATATGATGGTGAGCCCAGACAGGACAAACACTCAGCCTTACACCACAACTGTGGATTCAAGTCAGTCTGTAAGACCTCACAACTACACTCCTGCCAACTGAACATGGTGTTCAGCACAAGCAATCTTTCTGACTTAGCCTTGGTGCAGATGTAGCAATCTTCCTTCCCATTAAGATGTCCTGCAAATTGAACCCACCTGTACCAGCTATTTTGTTCCAAACTGTTACCAAGACCACGCTCTTTCTCCTCTGCATAATCTTCCCACTGATCAAATGGCACTCTCTTTACTCCTGGCCTGAACCCATCAGTCCAGTTAGCCACTGTCCTGCGGACCCAATCTAACCTACTACTACTACTAACCTACCTTCAGGCCCAGCACTCCTCACAGCAGTCTTCCTTTTGTGTGGCACAGTCACTTTTTCAGCTGACACTGTTCTTCTTGTTGTAACAATCACTTAAACTGGTTTCTCTGTCATTTCCTCCTGGTTCAAAGCTGGTTTAGCAGTTACAGCCAGAGTGACAATTGATCTGCTGTTTTGTATTGGTCCACTTGGGGGTTGCAGGACTACAGATAGATTCTTCAATTGCACTTGTTATTCTGTTCATGACCTTACTCCATGTGACATTATATGTCTCATTGCGCTGTCCCATTGGGGGCTTAAATCCTACTCTAACCACCCAGACATCTTGCCAATTAACTTCTCTTTCTCTCACTCTGATGGAACACTGATCTTCTCCCCAAGAGTCAGGGGACTGCCCACCATCCGGAAATCCACTCAATTCCACACACACGTCTTCTGGGTGTTTGATCTGAGTACACAAAAAAACTGAAAGTGTCTATATTAGAAGTCCGGGGTTGCTTAGACATATGTGCAACCTAAGTATCATGCTCCCTATATCTCCAGTCTTTGTCGTTCAATGTCCACTCTTGCACACCTGGCCATTCCCTAGGTGCAGCCCTTTTTCTTCTTACCACAGCTACCTTACCTTGCCCTTGCTCTCCCCCCTCTGGAGAGTCAAGGAGATGGGAGCAAAGCTGGATCATAACCAGCATCATTATCAGGAGGAGTATCAAGCTCACTCCCCTCCTCAGACACTGGCTGCTGTTCCAGGTGATGTTCATCTTCCTCTTTTGGCACCACTCCTGTCTCTGGACTGTTTGTGTCCTCAGGGACCTTCACACAGTGGCTTAGATGATACCACGTAGGCGAACCTTTCACTTGCACTGCATGGGCAGTTGCACTGACCATCTCGTATGGACCTTCTCTTCGAGGGAAGTCCCACTTTCTCCTAAACACTTTAACATACACTAAGTCTCCTGATTTCACTTTAGGCTCTTCATCCTCCTGGACCTCTCTAGCCTGTAGGGAA